TTTGCCGCGTCTCGTGGCTGCACGAGTCGTCTTTGATAACGAGAGAAATTGAAGAAATCTCGATCCACTGGACTTTCCATTCAATCTTAGAAAGAAATATCTAAATCTAGTCTAATCAGACCTAAAGAAAAATCTAATTTTCACGAATGAAAATTTTATTAAAATTCACTCCGGTGTAATTTGCATAAGAAAACATACACACACGAGGCTCGTTGCCGCGTGTTTGCGATTCACGTTGCTTCAAGTTAAACACTTTGCCCTTCGGGGAAACGCGAGAACGCGGTTACACAGTTACGCTGGTACTTGTCGATTGCTCGAGTGCAGCTCGAACCAGGCCAAATCGCATTCTATGGTTCCCCCCGCGGAGAATACGCGGCCCACCCTTCTTCGATCCTGGGGCAAATATTTCATCGAGTCGACCGAGTTTCGCGACCGTGTGTAAGTACTTGGCGGCGTAGGCGGCTGCGACGTCTTGCTTGGTTCGCGTAAACGCGCGACACACTGGCTGGTGCCGCGTAATTGTTATCGTTCGAGCTGTTGCGTAATTGCGTAGATCAAGCTGTCGTGACACCGAGTCGCGTCTTCGCTCGCGTCGAAAGCCACGTATTGCGCAGAATTTCGTTTCGATTGCGTGCACGAGACTCGTTCGAGTAAACGTTTCACTCGTTATCGTGGCGAAACATTTTTCAACCTGTTAACCGAGCAACGTAACCGATATTTAGAACGTAATAATTCATTCGCTTCGAGTTTCTCCGGTTTTAATTGTAAAAATCGGGATAATTAGTGGGAGAACGATGACCGGGTCAAACGTGACCCGTTAGAAGTGAACCGACTTTATTTTCTATTCCTATCGATGTGAATCTAATTTTTCAGTCACCTTTTAGTTTCATAAAAATTCACTTTTGGAAGTTAATTTTGATCACGTATTAACGTATTGAAGGGATTTCATTTAGTTCAACGTTGGCAGTCGACTTTAAGGGATATAAAAAATTTCAGAATATAGATCATCTCGTCTAAATAATGCTATTTATATATTGTAGTACAAATCCAAACATTGTCAAAGCAATTTTCACTAAAACTTTGTCGAATATCAACACTGAAAATATCACTACATGTGAACGTATCCAAGGCGACCTCGCCATGAATGAACGAACGCACTGGCTCTGAAGAGGTGGCGGGAAATTGAAAAAGATGCGCGCGTTATCGAGGCGCCAGGGTGTCACCGTTCCTTTTCTTCCGCGCCCTGGGGTTGAAACGACTGTTCATTAAACCGCAATTTCGCGGCATTCTCGTGGACCGTGTCAGCCAGTGTCGCTGGGAACGCACGTATCTTGGACGTTTTTTTTTTTTTTTT